TCCAACAAAACATTTATAGAAAACACCTAATCTATGGTAATTATTTGCTTCTAATGCTGCGATCTATGCAATCCGATGATGATTGTTTGATTATTTACTTTGCAAATCGCATTTACGTGCTGCATCTCTAGCAGAAGTTGATCTGTAGATTGTTTGTTGACTATTGCCATAGAAACATAAATATAGACAATGCATGGTAAAATTTGTGTTTAATGAAAATAATTTTTACTTTCAAAAATTAATAAAGTTTGCGTTATTATATTAGATGAGCAATTAGGTTCATTAATGAAGTTTTTTGGCCCTCAGCATACTTTGCTAAACGAAATTTAATTGAACTCCGTTTCAGTCCTGAGGTTTGGAGGATTCGAAGGTTTCAGCGTTGTTGTTCGCAACATTCCAACCTTTGATTTAATTTGAGAAGCACGCTGGCTTTCATCATTCGTGTGCGCGAGTTCGACGTCGGCGGCGCCAGAATATAGACAAACGTAATTAGTATGCAATGTGCATGGGATAGGAAGCCTTTATATTATTAGTAAGATGATATTAAATTACCGGCAAATAGTTGGCGACGTGCCACCGAACCACGATACCGTTTCCGCGAAAATCAAAGAGGGGAAAACTTTCAAATCAAGCGGCAAACACCAACAAACTTTGTCAAAACTATTGATTAAATTAAAACCACGGTTAAATTTTTAAAATGTTGCTAGTCTCGATTTGGTTTTGAAGCATACACTTATGGTAATCGCAATCAGCGAGCTATTCCGTGCCGTCACCTACCGCCCCCGGCTTCATCAATACACACCTCGGATTGAATCCGCACGTATTCGTACGTTGCGGTGATCATCAAGTTCCATATTTATGAATGTACATACCGCATATTGCGGTGTGAAGGCATTTGCATTTGAAATTGTCGAAATTGCCGCCCCCACCATGTGGCAGACGACATGTTAGATCGAAACCACAAAAAAAGTTACATTTGTCTCAAAGTACAAAAATCTGCAGAGTACATTGAACGAAATTTAGACACTAAGTTGTTGTCTGGTTGCGCGGCAAGAAATTGGATGTTTTACGGCATTGTAATGACGCCGCCTCCCAGCGTCGGCATCGTCGGCGACACAATCCTTGAAGGCACATTAAATTTTACGTTTTGCGTGTCCGAACATTAAACCTGCTCGTTCGCTCGCTGCCAAGATTTATGTAGTTCGTAATGAAAGTCCAAGACGCATTCCGCCCCAATGAACACCAACCCACTTGCACGCGCGCTTACCGCTTCCAGGTGTGTGTGTATGGACGTGCACGTCTCGGAAAACTAGTAAATCAACTCGCTTTTTATTATTTGCTCTGTCGATTCGCATCAACACACATCCGTAGTCTATGTAAATGCGGTAAACACACTCGTGCACGCATAAACACACCGAGGATGGTTTATGGCTGGCGCGCGAGGGGTGTGGGTGGCGGCATGTGTCGGCCGCAGGTGCGGTGCTTGTTTACCATGTCCGACTACACCCCTCATTACTATTACATAAATTGCATTAAAACTTCAAGCCTCGAAGCATAATCAATTATTGCCGGTGCTGTGGCCGTCCGCCACCACCCCCGACTCCAACACCACTTCACTTCGAATATTACAGACAAGGATACTCCGAGAGTGCGATGGGAATGAAATTTGAACAAGCGTCCATCATTCACATCATCAAGTGAGCATCCTAATTGCAACTTTGGCGATTTGGCCGGATAATCAAAGGACACTCTCAAGCAGGATTGAATATTTCAGTGGATTTTTACATAACCACAAATTTTATTATTTTGTATAATTATAATCATAGACTAATTGAATTTTGATTAATTTCACACGTTGCTACCTGAAAATAACAAGTGCTTGTCTTCTACGCACGTAAAACCCAATTTGCTTCATCACTCCGCAACCCTAAGGAAAACTCAAGGAGTCGTTTTGGTGCGAATACAACCCAAGCGTGCATCATCATATTGTGCTATAAATTCGAGCTTCTCAGCTCGTGTTCGAGTTGCTCAGATGACGAGGGGTGGGAACGATGATGAAACAAAGTTACACAACTGTTGAAATAACAAGGATTCTTCGTCTCTTTGTCTCACCGTTCGAGCTTGTACGCACGCGCAGCCTGCCCTTTTATGTTACCTTTATTATTGTTTAATGCGTCCTTAATGAACAACAAGGAGCCGTTTTCCATTCCGCAGCAACTCATGCAGACCAATGCTAGGCGCATGTATTTTTCTTCCATTACCTGTCCTCGGTTGTACGGGGGTAGTTTGCGGGAATGTTCAGTCGTGTTTCTGTGTTTTCCTTTCCGACTGCCGAGCGGTTGTAGTAACAACCGATATTGTTCTACGGCTTCCACCCGTTCGCAGGTACAGTGGGATATAGCTGATGGCTGGGTTTTTAGGCCCCGACTGGTGGAGGTGTGGGGCATCCTATCGAGACGGTATTTAGCGAGCGCCCTATTTAATTTCGCATTTGTTCTCGATGCAGGATCATCTAGGGAAGCGGTTGTAAACTCACTACATTGACAAAGAACAATATGCTGTTGAACAAATGCACCTGTAGTGCAAAAACAGCGTGGAATAATATTATCTACTAGCTTATGTTAGGTTGGTAGTTTTATGCGAAAAACAATGAAATAATACTAAATTTAAGGTAGTTTTTTTCTATGTTATATTGAATCTGTCTTTTTGGGTCCAATTAAACCGCGTGTGCTCTTAAAAAAGGTCGATTGCTGGCGTTGCAGGCGTTCTCCCTAATTAATTGGCGTCGTTTATTTGATAGAAGCCTGGAATCAGTATGGCGTTCGGTTTCGTTCCGCTCTGCCACTTCCGCATTCACCTCCATCTCCGCTTTCAGGATGCTGGAAATGCTCTGATGGGAGGCATTATTGCTCCCGATTGCTCCCAATAGTGAGATGAAGAAATTAGTCGACCCAGGCCCATTCCACTCGTCGAAAAGAACAACACGAAGTGTATTTGCGGTGTCGGGATTAAACCAACCGAACCAATTTGGCGCGTTGAAGTTTTAAAGAAACAGACTTAGGGAAAATAACCTATTATGAAATAATGACGATCCGCATCGTTAGACGCACGTGTCTAATTTGTGCTCGCATCAATTATGCACGATACGCTGCAAGGAGCCGGTGTGGGCTGCGTTGTCAATCCCTTATCTGGCACGCACGAAAGTTTTGCTCGCTTGCCAGCCAAGCTGGGATTCAATTATGATCGTGCCATAAGCGGTAAAAGTTTTGTCATATTCCAAGCTTGTACGTACAAAGTGTACTGGAAAAAGTTTGTGAATATTAAGTTAAAAATTTCATTTTTGACCGCTGAACACTCTGTATAAGTTGATTTCTATTGACTTTTACATGCTGTAACCTTTTGAATCTGCTTGGCAGCACATGGTCGGTTGATTAATCCTTCTATTTCATCACACAATAGAGAAATGCCATCATTGCGGTTTATTATTCTCGAATTACTAATAAATCGCCCTGAAAACTTCTATTCTGCCATCGACCATTTTTCATTTTACGGTTTTCTCTTACAAAATTGAAAGTACGATAGGAAAAAAATGAGCAATTAGCAAAAATCCGCTTTTGGTTTGCTGCCTTTTTCCCGGCGTATTTCCTTCTCGCTGCCACCTTTAAGAAAGAGGCTCAATGCGGCGACGCTGCGTGCGATTATTTCGTCTGAAGACGTCATTATCATCGGCACCCAATTTGCATTTATATTTAATAGGCTACTCTTTAATTCTTTTATTGCGCACGAGCATTTTCCTCCCTCACGGTGGTAGTATCAATGTAGCGGCATGAGATGGCCGCCATCGTATTCAACCCGCTTTCAGCACTTTTCCGCATTCTGCATTTTTCTTCAATTTTTTTTTTAATATTCTTCAACTCCGACTGGCGAGTCGGTTTTCAGTCGCGAGAGGCGCGCAGAGAAAGGGTCTTCAGTTTTCGAGTGCTGCCGCCTGAGAAGCGAGCTTGGCGGCGTAATTATTTCTGATTGAATTGCGCATTCTTTCTCTTGCCGGCAGTGCGGCCCGAAAAATGTCCGTCCTTAGTTACATTCGGAATTTAATATTTAAGCTTTCCAGTAGCATAATAGCCTCGGAATTCATTAATAAGTTTTTTACTTGATGTCCGCGCTCCCGCATTCTTTTCATCTTCTTTTTCTTGCAAAAACAAGAGGGGTTGCAAAAAACGCACAGCCAAAAAGGGTTTACAGAGAACAAAACTAAGCAAAGCTGAAATGTTAAAATGATTAATATTAGGATTAATTTTTGTTCTTTAATCAATCAAAATTTACAGAAATTTACAGGAAAAATTGAGGTTTCAAAATGTCTATTTTTTCCTTACATTCTTGGTTATGTCTTGGTTTAGATTTTGCATTGTCATGCTTCTTTTCGGATTGATTTCGGCACTTTACGGAACAGAATAACAAATTGCGTATTATTTTCACACCCCTACGGCATGCACGCTAACCTCCATTATTTTCTCCCCCGTCGACATCCGCCACGCAACACAAATTTATACTCGCATTCAAGACTCCAATACGTGGTTCGAGAGAAAAACCTGCTTGTCATTGCACTCACGTTTCATTGCGCTTTGAGGGTGGTAATAACCCCGCAAAACAACAAAAACTTCACGTAAAACACACCTCGTGCATTCCTAATTTAATTATTGCAGTTGCCCGATGTGTAACCGTTTTTATTGTGTGATTTACAAAGGTGTTACTATGTGATATGATGATAAACGCTTGTCATTGATGAGTGTGTGAAACTCGATACGCGCTGGAAACTCTGGAAGTAGCGCACCACCACGGATGATTACGCAAACGCGTTGATTTATCACCGCAAAGATTAATATCATCCGGGTGCGAGGCGTGATGGCGCGATATCGCGATAACACGCTATCAAACCGCCACCGCGCACGCCCTCGAAAACGCTTAACTAATGACTCTTGTTTGTTAATTTGTTACAGGTGAGTACCATAAATCCAAAACTACCGCTTCGTGCGCCACGGCGCCGTATATCCATCAAAATGGGTAAGAAAATTGTTTAACATCGATGTTATTTCCATGTCTAGACATTGTGATCATTTTACGCGGCGCAAATTGTACAATTAATTAATTTCGACAACAATTTAAATTTTGCTTGAAATCTCGGCGAACAATCGCTAATTGAAGAATAAATGGCTCGATTCATTCGAGTTGGAACTTTTCATTCGTGTTTCGCTTCCAACTTGCTGCCAACTCGTGCGCTTAACTTTTGTACGTCGGAGTTGTGTGCCGTTTTTTGTTCTGTTTCTTGTTAATTTCTTTTATTGCGCTCGACGCGTACAATTTCGGCCACTTACGCCCTTTGTGTTTATGCATCGATTAGGAAAGCGTCCAAACTTGATTGTGCTTTCGGTTACCGTCGTTTATTCGCATTGTGCGCGCCGGAAAGTTTGATTGATTCGCGCCCCATTTCAGATTTGAAAAGCGCTTTGTATAATGGAAACTCGTAAAACTATTGTTTCTTGAATTAACTCAAGCACTTAAAATCCCGGAGAAAAAAATTTACGACTTTAAATGCTAATAAAATGTTGAGGTTAGTTCAAGTGTAGATCGAATGTCTTCAAGTGGTTGGAATACTGCGATAGCAAATCTGGTTGCGCAATATCGTCATAATTACACGTACTTGAAGGGCACCCGTCAAGGCCCCGGAAGTTTCCGCCGCTGTTAATGAAACAAAGTTTCAACTCGCGCCGCTTAGCAGTTCGAACAGCTCCAACTGCTTTAGCGTTACAGGCGCACAGACTAACACACACACATAATGTCTCAGCTTCTGCTTCAGAGCTTCAGCTCCTCACCCTAGATTCAGAAACCCCCACAATGCTATTACTAGGAATACTCCAAAATGGAGCTTGGGTGGCCCAACACTAATTTGCCTCGATGCCGCGATATTGAGCTCTCGCACCCCCGGTACACCCTCCGAATCTGTTCGGTGCTCACAGCCGCCGCCACCTCGCCGCGTTATAGATTATAGACAACAGCCGGAGCCTCAGGTACATGGGATACACGCGCGAGTACATCAACCTATTATCTGATAAGAGTAATTACAATCTCGGGTGAATGCAAGCCGGGCCTCCACTCAGCGCTCGTGTCTCTCTACTCCACACACAAGTAAGCATGGATTGAGACGACAGGGATGCTGGGCGCTTCGGGGGTCATGTACGTGAACACTCCGAATACAAGACATTCTCATCCAAAGACTGTTCTATCAGTCAATAACTATTGATTATTTGTCGGCCACCAAGCAGCAATCTTTGCTTTAGTGCTAGTAAACTGTTTTGTTAGTTGCACTAACAACAGATGAAAGAAACAAGAGATGCAGCAACACAATTCACAGGATTTGTTGTTTCTTCTCTAATTAGTCTAATTGCCAAGACCTTTGCTTAATAAGACTTAGAGCATTGCAAGCATTCGGTGCACTTTCTAAATATTCTTAATGCAAAGTTGAAGTTGAGCTCAGTCTTGTGTAATAATACTATTAGTGCACGAGTAGCTTAACTACAGACGTATTTGAACAGATTTCTTGTCAACAAAGTGTGTTTGTTTAGAATTTAAACTTTTCAATCAATTCTATGTCAACAACATTTTTTCCGTCTGAAGTGTATATTTATGATAAGAAATGATTTCGGCTTTCCAGTTTATTAATGTTATTATAAAGAAATGGATTCATAATAATAGTCTAACAACATGCTCGCGAGCGCTGAGTTCGTGTTCATTTCACATTTCATTTTCCACACGAAACGGACGATAAATACGACAAATAAAAATTTGATATCGGAGAAACTCAAAGCGTCCCCACGTGTTTTCTTAATATAATTTTTCAGTTCAATAAATTTTCTATTATGATATGCCACGTTTTGCTTTACGATAATGTATAAATCTTTTCTTTGATGTTTTGATGTTTTCCCTGTAATTCTGAAATCCTTACTGGAACCTTATCGCACTGTGCAGTGCAGGAAATAAATGAAGAGACATCAAACAAGTGTTATTACGGAGAAAATCTCCAGGTATCGGGGATGTTATCTTACGTATGTTTTCGTAGAGATTAAAATTACAACCGGACTGCGATATAAGTTTGATTAGATTTTTAATGGAAAAATATTTTCTCATATAACTTGTGACGCTCTAAGGAAAATGGCATGGGAATTCAAAAAAGTTTTTTAAGGTATTTTGAAACGTTTGAATCTATTTTTTAGCTCTCAGATTTATCGTTTGTTGGTTCATCAATTTTGTGTTAATTTTGACTTTTGACTTCGGGGGCAAATTACGGGTAAATGAATTTATGTGCAATGTGCACAAGAGATTTCAGCAAATATTGATCAGCGTGTAAGTTATGATGTGTAACGATCCCGGCGTTGGGTCTGCCAGTATAAACACATCAGCGCGGCGAGCATCAAGTCGAGCAAATCATAACCCAAAGGGAGCAACATTAATCGGATACTGCTGCGGGCGACGGTGGTAATCTAATCTGGCTAAGCGTCGAATACGGACTCGGGAAAATATACACTCGCTCTCTATAACACACGAATGATTTGCTAAGTTTAATATAAACAGGAGTAAAGAATTAAAATCTAGAATTTTCTGCTTGTAACATGAGTTTTTCTTGGATGATCAGATTACTCATTGCTTTATTGCAGTTTTGCATAAATTTTCTTCGATTTCCACGTAGAGCTTATTCCCAGTTGAAAGGGTTTTGAGATGGACGTTGTCCGGTCGTGAAATGAGTTGTGTAGGGCGTATTTCCAGTCAGCGGAATCCTCTTAACGGTTAACGCGAAGGCTGCGGAACGTTCCTCTCTTCCACAAACATTGCGAACAGCTAATTAAGTCCAATCAGACTCGGTCCATCAGATCCATTAGGCGCCCTTCGTGTTTGCGCACAAACTGAGATGCTAATTGGGCCAAAACTCGAGCTGCCGCCCGGAGTGCTCGAAAACAAACCTATGAACTTATTATCCGTGCGCGCCGAGAGTGTCCGAATACTGGACCTCGCCCAACAAACAAAGCCGGCGCGATACTAGCACGCGAATTGAATTAATGAAGCAAGCGCTGGACCGACTCAAATTTTCAACGTAAAGAGGGATTAATTTACGAGATGACCTTTTACATGCTGCTACACGTATGTAACATGCTGGTTGTTGGACTTGTGGGACGTGGAGGTTGGCATGAATTTCACTTAGTAGCAAAGACGCTGGATCGTATTTTAAACGAGATTTTCTATCGGAGCAATTCTGCTCGGCGCGCTCACCGAGTAATAGCTATTAGAGCTAGGGGGGTCTGAAGCGAAAGCAAGGCCCTGGTCTAGGAAGAGAGTAGAAGCAGCGGTTGGGAATTTTGGCGCAGGCCCGCCGAAATCCCCGAAGCTCTGCCGCGCCCGTGGATTAGATGCGCGCTGGCCGATAGCGGCCCGCCCCCGCGGCCTCCGGCCAGCAACATGTGTACCAGTCGACTCGCATTACGCGCGTCCGCACTCTCCGGCCCATATTAACTCCTAAAAGTTATTATCTCCCGAGGACGGAGAACGGATTTCACTCAGACCTAGCCACGTCCAACAAAATTGCAACGTGCTGCAGAGATGTTGAATTTAATTTATTTCGAAATATATTTTCAGACGGCGGCGGCGGGCGGAATGCACGCGCGCCAAGTCACATCATATTTTCATGCGGGGCATTCTTCATCCCTTTGTTTTGCTCGTTTCGGAAATGGCATCTAATATGACTACATCAATCCCGCTTGCAGTCGCTCAAGAATTTCTGAAAAATCTGAAAGCCAGTTGGGGAAAAATACAACAAAAACATTCATGGAGGCTTCGAGCTTTCCGAATAAAATGCCCATTGATTTAATTTAGACGCTCTTTTATGGCCTCGTCCAGAAATCTGGATTCTCTTCGACGCTGATTAAAATCTCACTTTAAATCAATTTCGTTTTCGTCCCCGCACGCGATGCGGGTTTCTGGATGTCACGAGCGTTGTCGCTCTTCGCCAGGTTCGGTACTGTCGTCCCACGTCCTTCTTCTCTCAATGCGGGTCGTATTTCCCGAGGCGCAACCCCCGTCTCCCGACCCCTCACCAACGGCGTAATGTAAAATGACAGATCCCATTATTTACTGAAAAACAACAACGTGAAAGTAGGAAAGCCTGTAAGAAACCGGCTCTTGAGTCTGAACCCACCTCCACCTCAAAACCCACCTCGAAGCAAAGAGTGTGAGACAGTGGGGAGGAAACTGATGTTCTTATCTACCCACTACCCCTTACCTAAAACACGCGCACACAAACCCGGACCGCCTGAAAAACACCACAGCATGGAAATGAAGGACAACATTTTGGGTGCTATATTTTTATGAGGGTGTAAATTCTTTCCTATGGCAGGTGGGTTCAAGTGGGAATTTCGGCGGAAAAAATATAAGACGGGCGTTTATGAAAAGCCGCTTAATTTTGAATAATTTCGAGGAAATGTACAATTTATCGACGACCACGCGGCGCATAAATTTGGCGCGTCGTCTCGCCCGTCATATTAAGCTTATGAAATTTTCGTGTGGCGTAAGCATATTAGATTTTCAACGCCTGCAACCATTTTTAAGTACAATTTTTTACGAGTGACGCTCTCCTCTGCGATGGAATTTTTTTCGTTTATTTTGATTTTTGGATGTTTAACGTTGATATGAGAACCTCTAACATCGGAATCTTTTAATAAAACGTTCTCATCAGCGTGATTATGATGATAATTATGAGCATGAGCATTGGAGTGATGTGGGATGCAAAATTATTCCGGAATATAAATCCAAAGATTCACAAATATTTACACGAAGCAACGCGTAATTAAGGGCAAGAGGCAAGGTTCCCGAAACGCTTTTCTGCGAATTTTCGCCTCGTGATTATGCGCGAGCAGAGCTAGGGTTTTTGATCAATGTCGACTGGTTCTAACTGGTTATTAATAAAGCCGAAGGGCGAGCCGAGCATACCCGCCTCGCAATCCAATCTCGGGGCGTTC